TTTTTGTATGGCTCACCATTAAGGTGGTTGATATGGATGAAAAATGACTCGTTTTAATTACATAAATCGATTGCTCAATTATAAGAATTATGAAAATATTAGTATCATGCAAATAACGACATATGGATACCTCTTTCAAAAAGCGTTGTCGGGGAGAACGGCGAACGGCGATTGTCGAAGGGAAAATGCACGACCGAAAGGGACTATGGTTACACTGTTTTACAAGTGACAAAATTTCACTTATTCGATTCACTTTATATAAAAGTGGAGGCTAAATAAAAGCAATGTTCACCAAAGTTCAAGAGGAGCCGACGGTTTCCTGGGGAAAATATATCTGTTCTTATGTCCCAGCCAGCTGTAAGTCACAACTGGTTTCCAGAAAAATAAAAGGACATTTTATTCCAGGAGAGGAATAAGTTCAAAGAATTTTTCCCAGGAAACTCTTGACGTCCATTGCAGGAAGGAAAATCATAAATATCTTTTAAAAAATACTAAAGTGCTTTAGCCACCCGAATGGAGAGTTTTTCCCAGACTGGAAGGTCGCCACAGTTGCTTGTCAAAATTCTAGTTCAAAATCCCTTTCCCAGGAAAAAAAAAGTATGAGAACAGTTATTTAGAAGAACAGACCCCGTCGGATCCTCTTGACANCAATAGGAAATTACACCAATTTGTTTTGGTTTCAGTTTGCCAAATGTGCTTTTGTGTTTACTGGACGAATATATTAAGCCGTCGTAATAAGACGCTTACTGCGTCTGATATAAAGGGATCGGAATTCGTATTTACTTAAAATCCGTCCAGTATCTAGGCAAGTAACTCTTCAAGTGCTCATGGAAAAGAGGAAACTTCTATTTAACTGTCCTTACTGTTTGTCATTATTTCCGATTTTTGACATTTCATTCTTTGCTTTTCATTATTTTAAGCTCAAAATCGCTCCAGTTATTTACATTAGYACCACGTGACTCGAGGTACATCATGATGCAGAACAAACAGTTCAAGTAAAATTTTGAGAGAATCAGAAAGCTCATTAAAATATTCAGCTCTTTAGTGCTGTCTCTTTAAACAATTTGAAAACGTGCACGCTGACTTTGGCTTTCAACCTTTTTCTTCCCTAAAAAAACGGTAAGTTTAATTGTATGTTTTGGCGTATTGTATAAGTTCCATCCCTGATTTTTCAGGATATAAAGACTTAGAAAAAATATACCACAAGCATTTCGATAAGCAATTATGTTTTGGCAAGATGATTCAAGAACTTTCAAGAGTTTTTAAGAGTGGATATATAATGTTATTTTGATATGATGTATCTTTAATAAGATATTATGTACGGAACAGCGAAAATGTCTTCGGTGGATCGGAAACAGAATATTAGACTTGAGTAAATACAACGAAGAATACAGTGAAACTGAATAAGTAAACTTAACAGTGTTAAGTATTTTAGAATCATATTTCTACCATATTTTTCGCTACGTAGGCATGTAACTTTTTGGTTTCAGTTCATTTGATAGTTTTAGATAAGTGCTACACATGCAAGCCGCTATATTTGTGGATGGTTTGTTTGTATTATTTGAGCGGTTAAGTTTTAACAATAATCCATGATATATAACAAAGGAAAACAAGGCATAGTTCACATTGCAATGAGCCTTGTTACATGAAGATTGAGTGGAGCCCTATATATCAGATTTAGTGGCAATAAGGGATGTCAATTCTCGGAAAGATAGATTCAATAAGCTTGAAAGATTTTTAAGTGTGCTTGCCATAGCTTAAGATGTAAATTTTCTGAAATTGTGAAAATATAGGTGAATGGAACTTTAATGGTGGCTTCAAGATTAATGTATGCTTTGAAATATTCCAATTAATGATCATTAAGTTAAGGGTTAAAACGCATGAAACTTAGTTTAAGTGAAAATAAATAAAAATATGTTCCAGTWATCGGCGGCCATTTTTTTCAAGGAGACTGCTAGCCAGAAGATGGTCGATCTGAGCAGAAATGTTGCAATTGTGGGAGTGACGTCCTTATTTGATGAATAGAAAAGAAGATTTTAACATTTAMAATTTGACTCGAAGTAATCTTTCTGTTCATTAATTTTAATTTTGAACAATTCATTTTACAATTGTTTTTTTTTTTTATTTTTGAATAGAAAAAAAATCTTGACTGTATGATGGATCCGTRCGGAGCAATCAAATTTTGTTGATGAGCGAACAATGGTATTTTCTCCATTCTCCATAATATGTGTCTCTACTACTTTACTCTATATAGAGATATTTTAATTTTCTATATCTGATAAATTATCCAATTTCCCACCTCTCCCAATATCAGGAAGACTGTATGTTTACTGAACTAATAGATTTTCCGTGTCAGTTGAAAAAATAATCCTATTTTTCTAGCTCGCGGGCTTTAATTATGAGAYCGGCAAAATATATATTGACACAAGAAAGAAATATTACCAAAACTTTAAAACCTATAAATATTTAATACCAAAACTCGTATTAAGATTTAGAGTTTTAAAGCTAATATTTGACATTTGTTTAGAAATGAATAAGAACCGACATTATCTGTCGCTGTATCGCTTTGCTTTTGCTGTAATGGTTGCATAGCTTTTACTCGAACAAGGAAAACATTTGATAAATTTGGACATTTATTGTAAATTCAGACATTTGCATTCGGAATTTTGTTTACAAATTGAAGTCATATGTACTTCGTAGTTCAGTGTAAATTGATATGGCCATGGGACATAAAACGAAGACTTATTWGTGAAATTAGTGACGAGATCTTGAACAGATCGAAAATTAAAATCCCCGTTAGTAGCATATGGCTTTTAAAATTGCGTCCTTCGAGTCATTCGTTTTCT